GGCATGGGTGCTCTGGTCACCGTGTGCTCTCGGAACACGTGGTTTGGGCATGGGTGCTCTCGTCACCCTTTGAACACGAACGTTATTATTGTTTGGGCGGGGGCTGGGCATGGTGCTCTGGTCACCGTGTACTCTCGGAACATGAACGTTGTTATGGTTTTGGCATGGGTGCTCTGGTCACCCTTTGAACACGAACGTTATTATTGTTTGGGCAGGGGCCAGGCATGGGTGCTCTGGTCACCGTGTGCTCTCGGAACACGAAAGTTATTATGGTGTTGACATGGGTGCTTTGGTCACCGTGTGCTCTCGGAACACGTGGTTTAGGCATGGGTGCTCTGGTCACCGTATGCTCTCTGAACACGAATGTTATTATGGTTTGGGCATGGGTGCTCTAGCAAGGGTGGGCGATGCGGAAGCGCGTCAACGTCCAGAAAGACAAGATAGCAGAATCCCGGAGCGCGACAACGGAAATAGAAGGAATGAATGAATAAGCAGAAAACCTGCGAAATGGGGTGTACGGTTAACAAGGCGTTGGCTACTACTACTTCTACTACTACTACCACTACTCCTACTAGTACTACTATTAGTACTACTATTACTACTACTACTACTACTAGTATTACTACTACTACTACTACTACTAATACTAATATTCATACTAATACTAATACTAATATTCATATTCGTATTAATACTAATACTAATACTAATATTAATATTAATATTACCACCACCGCCAATATTGCTTCTGCTTCTGCTTTTGCTTCTGCAATTACTACCATCACCACAACCACGACCGCTACTCTCACAGGCAAGATGAAGTTGGCTTTACAGCTCTCATTGCCGCAGCTGGAAATGGCCACCCCGAAGCAGTGCGGCTGCTGTTGGATGCCGGCGCCAACAGGGACCTGAAGGAGCCTGGCTGCCCTTGGTTTAGGCTCTAGGGCTTGGGGCGTTGATGCCAACAATACGGGTCCCCCTTGCACTCCTCCAGATGATTATCCATGCTATAGGAACCCTTTACACGGGACCAAGCTTTGAAGACCTCAAGTTTTGTATATGCATACGCATGCGTAGATGGGTTTGTTTGGTTATGGTCCTGACATGGTTTCCTTGCTTGCTTCGCGAGCTGAGGTTAAAGCAGTTGTAGAGATTACTCAGGGATGTAATTATAAAGGTAAACAGAATCCAGGTTCTCATGTGGCTCGCACATAACAAGCCTCCTTTTTGCAGCTTCAGAAACTGGGGCCCAGGATCATTTTGGCGAGACGGCAATCAGGGTGGCAGAGGCAAATGGCCACGTGGAGGTCGTGCGGATTCTGGCCGATGCCGATGAGTGCTTTCATGCCGTGATGAAAAAGGATGGTGCGTTTCTCGAAGAAATCCCAAAATCCTTGGAAAGTGACCCGCAGTTTGGAGCCTTGAAGTAGATCCCAAGGCACCATTGGGATTTCGATTTCGGTGTCTGGGGTTTGGCTTAGGGTCTCAGGAGTTAGTGCTTAAGTCATGTTGCCCTTGGATTGAGCCTGATGTTGTTTTGTGCACTGTAAGGTGGCAGCAAGCAGCTTTACAACGCATACGATTGCTTTTTTACGTGCAAGATCAGAGCAATGGACCCAACCATGCACGTGTTGTACAGTAAGCGTTAAAGGCTCACAATTCAATCCGTCAACTTCCACTCTTCCTGCGAACGTCTGCGTTTTGAGCATCTTGTGCTTTCAGGGCAATGGTCGGGTGAGAGAATTCAAAACACTGGCTTGCCCCAAATTCTTGCTTGTTTCAAGCGAACAATACGCGAACCCAAGAACCCCAACAACCTTGAATCCTAGATTCAAAGCCCAAAGCTCGACAGCCTATGCCTTAAATCCTAGAGAAGACACAAAGCCTTGACCTGAGTTCGATGCCGAATCCATGCTCAGCCTAGTGAGTATTTGTCATGGTTTAAGGGTTCAGGGTCTACCTCTATAAGTCTGTTTTAAGTAGATAGAATATGGCTTTGGGTATATCATAGTAAGATCCCCATATGCCCCATATTCTATCTACTTCACTTAAGGCTGACGACAGCTTATGGGTCTGATTTTCATTGCCTCCCAAGTGTCTCGCCTGCTTAGCACATCCCAGCCCTAAGACTTGGATCATGTGGTTTTCAGGGAACACCTCCAAGACAAACCTCCAAAACGAGGGACCGTTCCAGCCGTCTTAAAGGTAACTGGGGGTTACTGTGGCTTCTTGAGATTCATCAAGGCTTCTGAGACCCAAATAATCTGCGGGTTCCTCGGGGGGGATCCTCTAGGGCGCTTTGATTAAACTTGATGCTTTTCAGACTGAGCCCGCCCTCCAAATGGAAGCAAATTTTGTGGCCACATCTTGATCTCAAGCACCTAAGCTCTCTGTGAGTTAAGGTTCCAGGTTCCGTTCCTAAACTCTTGAGCAAGAACCCGGACGTTAGAACGGCCACTGATGAAAGCGTAGCTTGTATCACAATGCATCGTGCTCCATCGGGGTGCCTTTACTGTGCACAAGTCCCTACGTCTTGGAACCATTGCGAATGACATGGCCTAAACCCTAAACCGGTGGAAGACCTAATGCTCCTCAGTTGTCGCCCTTTGGTTGGGGTCTAGACTTGCAGGCACTTGGTTTTTAGGGTTTGGGGTTGGGGTTTGGAGTTTGAGAGTTTAAGGTTAGGGGTTCGGAGTCTTGGCTTTACGGTTTGGGGTGTTAAGGTTTAGGGTGGAGGGTTGGCTTACAGTTTCAGGTTTAGGGCTTAGGGTTTGGGAGCAGGGGCAAAGATCCCTCGAGAGTAGTTTCTATAGACCGCCCCTTTAAGAGTCCGTGTAGGCCCATCCCTTAGTCTCAAAGGAGCGTTACAAAAAGACGTACTGTAGAACACCGAACAGCTCCCAATATTATACCTTTACAGTCCTTATATGATGATGGCATGGTATACCTAAAGCCCTAGCTAGTTGAATGGGCTCTCACATTAGTTATCCATGGGTACTTCGAACCCCATCATAGTTATAGCTGTTTGATATGTATTTTAATCAATTAGGGTTCTTAGGGGGTCGGAATAGGGTTGTAAGTACTGTTATAAGTGGGCTATGCGTACTCAGAATCTCCACGTGACCCCCAACAGATTAGCATGGAGCCCATTTCGCCCCTGTTGAGGGGATAGTAGCCCTTGCAGGCCCGTTTCGGGTTTTAGGGTTTAGGGCATGCTTGTTTTGGGGAGGGTAAGTCTTAATCCACATGAGCTCGGGTTCGGGGATGTGGGTGGGGACGGCAGCCTCTGCAAATTATTCTTCAATTCAACAACCTTTAGGGTCTCTCAGAGCGCCGTACTGTGAAAACTCCTGAACTCTGAATCCTAGAGCCTGAACCTGAAAAATCCTTTTTCGCACTAAACGTACCTGAGGACCTGATTCAACTGAATGGTGTTCGAGGGAGGGTGGGGCAGTGCATCCTATATTGATCCCTATATGAGCTATGGTCTAAACTCCTAGTAACACCCTTAATGTAGTCCCTATATAATCCCCTATAAGGAGTTTAGCCTAAAGTTCATATCATCGCTTCTACTACTACCTTTTCGTCCACCACTCCTCCTAATTACGCACCAGTGAGCCAAGGATCGCTCTCTTGAATGTTGGC